TTATATATACTGAAAATTTTCTATGACACTTTTGAAAAAAATATGGAGGAAGTTTTTATTAAGCTTAATAAACAGAATAAATCTGTTGTAATATGTGGAGACTTTAATATCAATCTCCTAAGAACTTCCTACACCAATATTAAATTTTTGTCATTGTTTAAATCATACTTTTTTTTTTTTGGGATCCAACGCGTATTGCTAAATCTAGTGCAACATGTATTTATAACATTTTTACAAATATTAAGCCGTTCCATAAATGTATAATTCAAAAATTGAGCTCTGATCACTGTGGAAAATTAGCTTCGTTAGCTTATGTTCACAAAAAGCAAGTAGATGAAAAAGCTATGTTTGTTTTTGTATGGAACATTACTTAAGCTTATTTGCAAAAAGTTTGATAATACTTTTACTTCTAAAACATTCTCCTTGTACAATCGTAAGGCATTAAATGAAAGGGCGACAGTAGAAGTTCATAGGAGTAGACAAAGGTTATATGAACTTTACAATGAAAAGTCATAAAATTCTAGCGTCAAATTTAGGGAATATGTAAAAAAATATTCAAAATATTTAAAAGAGTGTGCTCTATATCAACAAAATAAAGACTGCTTCTAATAAAATTAAAATAATATGGAGTATAATTAATAGTGAAACTGTTAAGGTCAACTCTCGCAATTCAAACTACCATTTAGGTTTTAACAACTATTTAACTAAATCAGATCAGGACTTTGCAATGTTTTTGAGAAATATGATAATGATATTCCGATGTCTACCGCTAAGTCACTGAATTTTTCTGCTACCGTCGCCGAATCATTACTTACAATGTAAATGCGTATACAAAGAATTTTGCATTTCATAAAGTATCATCAAAAGATATTGTAAAATATTTCCTAAAACTTTTGTTACCTCCACACTCCATATATTGATATTAAGAAAACCACAGATCTGTGGAGGTTTTTTGTTAAAGTAATCGCGTCTATAATAGATACAATCGTACCTCAACTATCTATTATTTTTAATACTAGTATCGAATCCGGTGTACTTCCCGATTAAATGAAACATAGTAAAGTAATACCTTTATTTAAATCTGGAAGTACATTGGACCTCGCCAATTTTACACGTATTTCTGTACTGCCAAACTTGTAAAACTAAAAAAAAATGTTCTTGATCAAATGTTAATTTTTTTTTAATGTAAATAATTTGCTACATAAAAATCAATTCGGTTTCACAAGAGATCGCTCGACAACTGATATTAATGTTGAGCTGGTTAAATATATCTTCAATGCATGGGAGAATTCACAGGATGTCTTGGGTGTATTCTGTGACCTACCCAAAGCCTTCAATTGTGTTCACCATGAAACATTAATCAGAAAATTTCAACACTAGGGTGTGAGAAGTAATGCTCTTAAAATTTCATATTTAAGTAACACAACGCAAAAAGTTGTCATTAATAGTATATTATGTTCATCTGGGTCGATAGTACAAGTGGGCGCGCCTCAGGGTTCAATTCTCGGCCCCTTTCTGTTTCTTCTATATATTAATCACTTACCTACATAGTGAGGATAACTATGAAATAATATTATTTGCTAATGACACTTCATTAATTTTCAAATTAAAACAACATTTACTATATCATTATGACGAAGTAAATAAACCTACATCTAAATTGGTAACTTAATTTAATGTTAATTATTTGCATTTAAATGGCACTGAAACTAATTATATGAAATTCATAACTCCGATTGTCAAACATGTAAATACTAAAGTAATTTTAAATTTCTTGGAATTACACTAGACGCAAAGCTTCAAAGGGGCCCCATATATCAAAACTCAGCATACGCTGTCAAAAAGATTGGAAGTATTACCAGTATTGAAACAGCCAGACTAGCTTACTTTAGCTATTTCCGTAGCATAATGTCGTATGGTATTTTGCTATGGGAAAACGCAACTGACACCGTATTTATATTTGTTTTACAGAAGAGGGCAATTAGAGCAATCCATGATTTAAAACCTAAAGAGTTGCCCGGCAATGTAATGAACGCACACAAAAATAAAAGCGATTATGCAAAAATAAGTAATATTCATTCTATAAATACTAAGCTAAAAACACAGAATAAACAGTAGTATTACCAGTTACTTGACTGCGCCGAGTTAATAATTCATTCTTGAGGCGATGTAGGTATACGCTTTTACAACAAAGTCCCAGAAAATATACAAAATTTGACCTGCACAAAGTTTAAAATCTTTATTAAACTAAGTTTGTATAAAAAGGGGTCATTATAATATTAGCGAATTTATAGATAATAATAACCTCTGGGGAGGGTGATTGCTACCAAGCGATTTCTAATTTGGTTTGTGCTGGTAATTGTAAGAGAGTTATTATTTTAAGTCCGCTGGGTTTTTGCTGTTTCTCCACAGAACAGAGGTTTTTTTCCCGAACTAGTGGTAAATTAAAATTAAGTGACTTTCAATAAGTATTATTTATAGTCCACATATGGGATAAAAATATTTCTGTTTCTGTTTCTAATCAATTTTAGGATTAAAAAGAAATTATAAAGCCAATTATCTTTAACTACTCAGAAGAATGTGATTATTGTTTATAACAGCAGCCCATTGTGTTATTTCAGATTCATACAAAGGAAAATTTGTTAAACAAATTACAAAATGTAGAAATATCACTGACCTCTATTATACTATATCAATATATATTAAACACTAATGGAGGTCAGTGAGAAATATAGATATAAAATAAATTCTGTTATATAAAAATGCCATCTTTAATTAATGCGTGGAACTTTAACGAACATGCCACTTCAATAGCTATTTATGTTATTTAAGCTATTGGACAGTAGATGGCATATACCTTGATTATTGTTGATAATTAAGGCAACAATAATTTGAATCTGAAATTAGAATTAAAAGAAAATATGTTTTAAATTTCGCACATATTTTCTTAATATTTAAATATATTGTGATTTTGTTACTAATTTGTTACTATATAACTTATCATATTAAATAAACCATACAATGTGGACTTTTAAAACTGGCAACCCAAATTGTCTATGACTTCATCGTCGTTTGACGGTTGGCAGGTACATCCGGGCTACGGGTAGGGATGATCGATGTTACAGAAACATCGATGATGACATCGATGTTGATATCGATAGCTTAACATCGATGTTCGATGTTTATCCTACTCAAAACATCGATGTTGGCCATTATCGATGTTATAGCACATGTATCTATTTAGTAGGTTAAAAATAGATATACAAAACCTCCTACGCGGGCCCCGTCTTTGCCCACGCAAACCCTAACATTATAAATGAACTCCAAATAGTTCAGAACCTCTTCTGCCGTCGAGCTGCGAACGCACCTTGGTACGTCCGTAATGCCGACCTTCATCGGGACTTAGAGCTCCCAACAATTCAACAATTCCTTAAAAAACTCTCTGAGAACTTCTTCAAAGTCTCAGAGTCGCACCCAAATCAATTAATTCGTGAGGCAGCTTCTTATGCAGCCCCACCGCCCTCTCGCTATCGTGTCCGCAGGCCGAGAAACTCTCTCTCGGACCCGCCTAATAAACTGTCAAACGACCTGAACTGTCTCCTGGCGGCTCAGGCCAACTCTAATTAAACTAAATTATTGTATTAACCAACTTTAATTTGCCTTCGTAGGCACTCCCTCAGCGGCTCTTAGCCGCCTGCGCCCTCTTTTTCCAAAAGAGGGTCGCTCATGATAAGGCACAATACAGCTTAATCAGCCGGTTGCCTGTTCCCAAAGGCGGTTTTTAGAGGGTATCACTTAGGGTCCCCGGTAGGACAGTGAGCCCCTCATAACCACGATAGACCGGCTATCGTGGTATGCGTAATGCATTTTCCGCCTCCCTACGTATAGGGTAGCCCTTTAATTGCTTCGGGCGCAAAAAAAATATATACAAAACATTTGTAGTGTCGTTTATGGTTTATTATTTATGAAATTAAAGAAATTAATAACACATTCAGTGTGAAACAGCAATTTAAAAAATGGGAAAAACTTAACAAATATTTAGTTAATTTGTTATATTTTTTTGCCGATAATGATGAATATTATTATTTTGATATTTTATTGTTCCTATACAATTATAAATCTGGTATTAAAATATTTTCTATCCTAATTTACGATTTAGACATAGGTTTTATAATAACTACTTCTATCGCGAAATAAAAAATGATTATAGAGGAAAAATTAACAAACTTCACAAAAACAAAATAATAGACTTTTCCGTCACCTTTGATCACACAATTTTTAATCAGGCATCTCAGGCAGTAAGTATCCACAGCCGTTTATAAAATGCACTGTAGAATGCACTTTGCAGTGAAATTGTCTATGCTCACGAATGCCTAGTGATTTATTCTGATAAACTTCAAGCAAACCATAAACTTGTTATCCCAAGCTCAAAAAACAGCTAAATATAATTAAATTGTATAGATACATATTGTTTCAAAATTATGTGTGTATAGAGAGCAAGGAAAAAAACAATTAATTTGAATATCAATTTATGTAGAATAGTTATTAGGCGACAGCCGATAATGACACCACAATAACAAAGCGAAAGCAAAGTACAACAGTGACATTACAGTTCACACTCGACGGGGAGTTTGACACAACATAATGATAGTTTTTAGGTGATCGATGCATTTAGGAATCCTTAATTATTTAAAATTTTAAACCTTTATATGAGATGAAATATTTAGGTGATATTTATTTCGCGGGTTCTTATTAATCGATTACTGGTTGATTGACATCGATGTTTGACATATGGCAACATCGATGTTTCGATGTTTAACGTGTGGTAACATCGATGTTAAAACATCGATGTTTCAATTTCTAACATCGATGATCATCGAACATCGATGATCATCGAACATCCCTAGCTACGGGCACATAAAGGGCCCTTTTTCAAGCGTACGCCATTGGTGGCGTATGGTAGTGTAATATATTGAAAGGAAAATCAAAAACCATCCAATATGGTAAGTATCGAAATTGATAATTATGTTTCAAAAAGTGTAGCGGTGTTCTTTAAGTTATATTCTGTATCAATATTTTCACTAATATTGTGTAAATGCTCGAAATAAAACTTGGTTTTTACGCGAGGAACGTCTTTGTGTCGGATGACGTTTTCAAAGTGAGATTAAATGTCGGTGTTGTGTGAGAACGTCATTACGGGTTTTGTTTTAATTATTTAAGAAAAAGCATGGAAATTACAATCATCAGAAATAAAAAATGTGCGTGTTTTTATAGTTTAAACTACAATTCTGTGATTGTGTTACAAGATGTTGATCGGTTTTCTGGTTTCTCCAGGTGAATTTCACAGTAGACGAGATCAGGACGATGATGGACAAGAAGCGGAACATCCGCAACATGTCCGTCATCGCCCACGTCGATCATGGCAAGTCCACGTTGACGGACTCGCTCGTCTCCAAAGCCGGTATTATTGCCAATGCCAGAGCCGGCGAAACCCGTTTCACCGATACCCGCAAGGATGAACAAGACCGATGCATCACCATCAAATCCACGTAAGTATCAAAAATTTTATTGCAAGTTCTTAACTACGGAAAGAAAATATTGCATCGGTTTATACCTACATTTTGATATTTAGCTGCTTGCATCATTTTTACGCCATTTTATTGTGCAATAAATCAATTGGCATCTGCTTTCCAATATATACTTATCCAATTATTATTAAATATTAATCTGTTTATCAGTAACAGCTGTTAGGTCATTCGCCTACAGTATAATAACAGTTGCTTTCTCGAGAAAGTATTAATTTCATTCACATGATGATTGTTCTTACCATAAAAACTGACATTCCTTGAAGAATCTCAGAACGGCCATCTGAGTATGAAAACTATAGAACACATTTTTTCTAAATGGCTTGAAAAAAAAATAACCTAATCACTCTTCCACAGTGCTATCTCTATGTTCTTTGAACTGGAAGAGAAGGATCTGGTCTTCATCACAAACCCTGACCAATGTGAGAAGAATCAAAAGGGTTTCTTAATTAACCTTATTGATTCACCTGGCCACGTCGACTTCTCATCTGAAGTAACAGCTGCTCTCCGTGTAACTGATGGTGCTCTTGTGGTTGTTGATTGTGTTTCTGGTATGTATACAGATATTTTCACATTATTTGAATATAATTTCATCTAGTAGTCATTTTAAACTGAGGATAGAACATGAGAGTTTAGGATAATATAACTTTGTTTTACTCACATATACAATAGTGTAAAAGTAATATCTAGCTTTCTGTTAACTAGGAAATAGAAATAAAGTCAATAATCAATAACCATATAGTTTCATAACGGATCAAACTTATGTAGCTTTCACTTTCCAATTAGAATAATTGTGCTGGAAGTTTTGTAGCCTTTGTTTTGATTGCCGATGTCCAGGGGCTGCAGTATCCCCTTCACTTACACTCAGGTAGAATGTTAGTTTGTATTTCAAATTTTAAGAAGAAAAAAGGCATTGTTTTTCTTTATAATTTAGTTACATAACTTATTTTCGTTATTTAGTTTTTACTCCTTTTTACAACAGGTGTGTGTGTACAAACTGAGACTGTATTGCGTCAGGCCATCGCTGAACGTATCAAGCCTATTCTGTTCATGAACAAGATGGACCGTGCCCTTCTTGAACTCCAGCTTGACACTGAGGAACTGTACCAGACATTCCAACGTATTGTTGAAAATGTAAACGTTATTATTGCTACTTACAATGATGATGGTGGACCAATGGGTAAGTACTAGCTTTGTTCTTTGATTAGTCCATAGTTCTAGTTTATTATCCATTAATTCTACTCAGGGTTGCGCGGGATAATTATCAATGCGTGTGATATTGCACATAGTCTTTGGTGTGTATCTGACCGTGGGAAAGATTGTATAAAAAATTATTATAATTATTAAAATACTTTAACTACACATTACATACTGGATAATAATCAGATATTATCATTGAACATTACCTGGATCATATGTAACCCTGATTCTGCTCGTTCATTGTCTACTGAGTCCATTTCTTTGTCTTTGTCTACCTGTAAAAGTCCATTGCTGGACATGGGCTTGTCCTATTGTATGGAAGATGGCATTCTCCACCCTTGGCGGCAGACCAATAGACAAATGCAATGACATCTTGCACTTTGACACAGCAGCCATTGCTGGTCTAGATATTTTATATCTCATATAAACAAGATAGTTTTACTGCCATTTACCAGAAGACATGAGGCAACTGTGGGGGGGTGACATACATTTAAACACTAATGGGATAAATTGGTAATATGAATCTTTTATGTAGCCAAATAGTTAAGGGCAAGGACTTCAAAATTAAATAGTAAATCACTCCTAGCACAACCATAGAACCTTAATTGGAATGGTAAAATATAGTATTTGTAGTACCAATAAATAGTTTTTTTTTTTCTAAAAAAAAGAATATTAACAATGCTCTAAACATTACTAATATTCCCCTTAACCACTTCTGGTAAGCTTAAATTGCTTGTGTTACGAGTGGTTCACGCCAGTAGTCGAATGGTAGATTCAAACCCACGACCTTTTTGAATTCGCGGTCCGCGCCCTGCCATTAGGCTACTGTCGCTATTGCAAGTTTTCTTCAACTAACAAACCAGTGAAACACATTCATGCTGAAAGACCAATCAATACTTTCACTTTTAACTGCAGCTGTCATTTAAATTCAAAACTTGTGGGTCAAGAGACACTAATGGTTGATTGGTTTTTTTATTATTTCAAATAGATATCTTAATCAAGTATGAGATTTGGAACATAATCTGTTAACCTAAGAAATTAGAAATTGTAATAGTAAATTACAATAATATATGTAATCATTATATTCTAGTTAGAAGTTACCTTAGAATTGTTTCAAACAAACTATCTAATTAATAATGATAATTAAATAATTTTATGTAAATTTTCACTGATAATCTGGAGTAGGTACATACACGGTGCATATGATGCAACATCTGATACTATTATCTATCATGGTCAATATCATTTGCAAGGTCGAGTACATTAGATGTGAAGCCACATTGTGCAATACCTGTACAGCCAGGGGCATAACAATAAACTATCGATATTTGTTATCATTTTAGAAATAACATGATAATAATTCATTAAATATTTTATAGTCCCAAGTGTTGCCAGTTACTTAGTTAAACAGTTTCTGGGTGTCAAAGAGGACTTACAGTGATAGTCTTTCTGGAATTGGCTACAAGTTTACATTGCTTGTAACCCCATACATGATAGAAACATTATTGACACAAAATTCAGTAACATATAAGGAAGTGACGCTATTAATAACCCGTCTCATAATTAGGGGTAGTCACTTTAGGTTAGTTAAAACGGAAAATTGTATAATCATGTTGAACATTTTATTATAACCTTATTTTGTAGTGCCTGAGTGTATGTATTTTATAAAAAGAACAAATAACATGGAAAACTATAGAAAGGTTGAGATTAGGCAATAGTTTAAGTAATTAAAATTAACATTGAATGAGATTTTTGTTTAAAAAACAAAGTATTCTTAAGTTTTGCGGAGAAAAGTTCTCTTCTCTTCTCTTTAGTAGCTTCTTCAAAATTGACCAGAATATCAATAATTTGACTTATAAGAGCCCATTGCCTTGCTGTGATTTTATGACGACAATTTGGTAGAGATCTCTTCAATATCTGATATGTTGAGTCTTATCTAGTTTTAACATCTTTAAACAGTCAGTATATTGTTAGCTTGTTGAGAATCTTTCAGTTGTTTGAGTGTTAAAATGTGTAATGTAGCCGTCGTTCCGTCTAAAGGGTCTAGGGCACACGTATTTTTTACGCGCCGACGACGAGCGTTTACAAAGTCTGCCAGTAATTTGAGTTGCCTACGAAAATATTAGTTTTTAAATATTCGTGATTAGTATTCGGCGAATACGAATATTCGAATACGTTAGATACCTTCTTCTTTGAGACAATTACAGCTCAGAGTAGACAGGGGAAACAAGACAGCACAACATAGTTATTTTGTGCCTCGTTTGCAAGGAAATAGATTTTAAAGCGTTTAATTTTAAAAGTATCGTTGAATCTGGTATAAAAATATATCTAATAATAGTATCGAAAATAATATATAGGCCGATATATCGGCACACTTTAAGTATCGTCGATATATTGGTATCGGTATTAGGTGCATCCCTAGTTTAAATGTTACAACATTGAACTACAAGTCTGTTTGTGTAGTAACAGACTTGCAGTTCGATGTTGTAGCACGGTTGTACTGTGTTCTTTTTTTTTTTGAGGTTTTCAATTCTCTCTGTTGCTTCTCATGGGGTCTCATATAATTTTGATCAAGATCTGACCATCAGTTTTGAGTTATCCTTAATAATGCGTATTTAATTAACTTAGACTACACTGATGATGTTCTCACTTTAATTACATTAAAGTTGGTTGTACATAATTTTAAATACCACTTGTTTTTTAGTATTCATTTGTTTTGTTATGTCAGTGAAACATCTTTAAACATAGACAATACAAATATGAGCAAAGGAGGGTACATATAGTATGTAATGTAATACAACATTTTATTTAAATATTCATAAATAATAAAGAAAACCAGCTTTAATAATAATACAGTAATCACCTTATTACAAATTATAATATAAAGTATAAATAAGCCATCTTTGAACAAATTTGTTAATTTTGACACTAATTTCTGATGTTTTATCTTTATTAATCAGGTGAGGTGCGTGTCGACCCTAGCAAGGGGTCTGTGGGCTTTGGTTCTGGTCTTCATGGCTGGGCATTTACCCTCAAGCAATTTTCGGAGATGTACGCTGACAAGTTTAAGATAGACCTTGTCAAGCTTATGGGCAGGTATGATATAAACTATATTGATTAAATATTGTAAACAGGTTATGGGCCTCCATTTAGCTCCATTCTCATGCATCTTTCGCACCCATATAGACATATAATTTTGGTCATCATAGGTCCTGTCAATTGTTTGATAACATTCAAAAGATAGTTGCAATCATCAATACTTTGATGCAACCCAAATCAAATGAACAAATCATTCATGATTTACACACATCTACTGTAAATATGTGCTTGCCTATTAATAGTACTCTAAATTTGACACATCTTTTATATGTAGGCAATTTGGTCAATCTGGGATTTCAGACTGCCACTCACAAGAGCTGTGTACACTTATCCAGATGGACTCCTAGGCACAGAAACATTAGAAACTTTAAAAGAATGCGTTTATAATAATGGTTTCTCAAAAATAATGGTCATAATTATAAAATTTTTACGCCATTCATTAGTTATGCCAAAACATTAAGTATCAATATCATAAATTGATTTTGAAAGTTAAAATGTAAAAAACCCTTTTATTGAAAGACAATTGAATCTTAAGTTGTTGTATGGTATTTCTTTAGTATATGACATAAAACAAATAATATTTTCCTGTAAATAAAATAATAAGCAAAAACTATAAACTGTAAGAAGCATTACTATGACATAATAGGAAACTATCAGTACCATACTGTTAACAGCATAGCAACTGTGAAGGTGTTATTTTATCAATATTGTTGATACAACCGTACATGTTTTTACCCAGTTATGCACTATCTGTACCATCAAGTCCTTAGATATTCTATTGAAAATGCCTAATGACCATTCACATATTTTTAGTCTACTGCTAAAAAATCAAAAATAACAAATAGACTTCTCCTTGCTGTGCCGTTTTTTGTGAAATGGGCAATGTCATATTATACTGCTGTGATGTTTTTTGCTGTCAGTTTGATAATTTGAATGGATACCTAAACAGCTTATTAATCAATAGAATTCTTTAAAAATGGTCTTATCAATTTCAATCACAAGTACAGTTCATTTATTAGGTATTGATTGTACACAAAGCATAGGTTTTCTGCTTTGGAAAAATTATATCAACTGTAAAATTCTCTAAAAGCAGAGTTCCTTCAACTGACCATGCCACATGACCCAGATCACCCAGGCCTCCAGTAATTATAAGGTCTTTATAGTCCCATTGATGCTGGGTTAAGTTTTTAATACCATACACCAGCGGCAGACAGGGACACAAATCATATTTTCAGAATGGATTGGTGAGGTGTTCTTTATGAACATTTTGCAACAAAATCTGAAATACATTTTATATTAACCACAACTGGGCTCCTATTGTTGCCAAAAGATTGTTGTCATTGCTAAGACTTCTATCTTGTACAGGCTATGGGGAGAGAACTTCTTCAATGCCAACACTAAGAAATGGTCAAAACAGAAGGATGCTGACAACAAGCGTTCTTTCTGTATGTATGTGCTGGATCCGATCTACAAGGTGTTTGATGCAATTATGAACTTCCGCAAGGAGGAGATTGATAACCTTCTGAAGAAACTTAACATTGCTATCAAGCATGAAGATGCTGACAAGGATGGCAAAGCTCTACTCAAGGTTAGATTATTTAATTTTTTAGCCTAAATTATTAAATTCATTGTAGCAAAAAATTATCATTCATCATATAATATGTAATAATTTCTTTTTATTTATTAATAGGATAGATTTTCATCTAATTGCATAGTCCTAAGTGTTGCCAGTTATTAAGTTATTTGGTTTCTGGGTGTCAAAAAGGACTTACAGTAATAGTCTTTTGGGAATTGGCTACAATCTTACATTGTTTGTGACCCCATAAATGAATGAAACATTAAGATTGGGTCATATGCATACATTACAGTATGTTTTAAATAGTTTTTAGACCCTCCATTATTAAATCATATTCACATTAAATAATTGACTTGATTCTTCTATATTCTGAAATCAAACAATGCTTTGCTTTTGATATAATTATAATGTACCAATTGTATTGATTTAGGTGGTGATGAGGACCTGGCTGCCAGCTGGTGAAGCTCTTCTTCAGATGATTGCTATCCACTTGCCATCACCTGTAGTTGCACAGAAATATCGTATGGAGATGCTCTACGAAGGCCCTCATGATGATGAGGCTGCCATTGGTATTAAGGTAAAGCAACGTTTTTTTTTTTAATAGAAGAAGGGGCAAATAAGCTTGTGGCTCAACTGATGATAAATGTAGACTGCCGCACATGAACCAAACACTAGGTGAGTTGCTGGTCAATTTTAAGAAAGAGTATGCTTTTTTCTTGAAGGATCCTAAGTGGTATTGGTTTGAGCACAATTCCACAAGGAAATTGTGCGAGAAAGAAAACTTCTTGTACATTGCACAGTGGTGGACCGGCAATCATCTAGATGGTTGGATGGTATCACAAGTTTAAGAAAATTAAGGGAGGCTTTCTACATTAGTATATTTATATGTTACAATATAGTCTTAAACTCTGCCATAGTTGTTAGCTTGTATAATTATAATTAAAATAACCATACTAAATCTATCACAGAACTGTGACCCTGAAGCACCTCTCATGATGTATATAAGCAAAATGGTACCAACCTCGGACAAGGGCCGTTTCTATGCCTTCGGACGTGTGTTCTCTGGAAAGGTCGTAACTGGACAGAAGGCTCGTATCATGGGACCGAACTACCAGCCTGGCAAGAAAGAGGTGAGTGATTAAAATACACTTTAAATAATTTATAATCGGTCAATAAGTACTTTTCATGCATCACAACAATCTGATTTAATAACCATTATTTTGCTTTGTGAAAATTAATGAAAAAAGTTTCTAAATATCGTTCCTTCCCCAATACCGTGCCGCGTTTGAGTGCGTTTGATGCTTTGCGTCGTCGCACAAGGAAGGCGTTGGCTAGTGGGGAAGCAGAGCACATTTCGCATGCGTCTAAACGCTGCATAGGACCTCTATCCTTATGTCCGAAGACTGCATGCTATGGCGCAAACGATACATTCTTTCTTAAAAATATGCTTTTTATTTAATCTTATGGTAAAAAAAAATATTTATTTGGTCAGTTTCTATTTCTGATATTTTTATTTGTAATTGTATAGGATCTGTATGAGAAGACCATCCAGCGTACAATCCTCATGATGGGACGTTATGTAGAAGCAATTGAAGATGTGCCCTCTGGTAACATCTGTGGTCTAGTCGGTGTTGACCAGTTCCTGGTGAAGACTGGTACCATTACTACCTACAAGAATGCACATAACATGAAGGTTTGTGTGATGCAAATTTTTTTTAAATGAAGTAATGTTATATAATTTACAAAATGAGTTTGGTGACTTTTCATACGGTAAAATTTTGATAAAAAACCTTTGAATATACCAGCACAACATCCAATAGATGTTAGACTACTGAAGACACAACACTCATACTAGCCATGTCAATAAGTCCGATTTTGACTATATACTTTGTTTTAAAGATTTGTTCAACTTTTCACTCAGGTCATGAAATTCAGTGTATCGCCTGTTGTGCGTGTAGCTGTCGAGCCCAAGAACCCGGCTGATCTGCCGAAACTGGTGGAAGGTCTTAAGCGTTTGGCCAAATCTGACCCTATGGTACAGTGTATCAGTGAAGAGTCTGGAGAGTACATCGTCGCTGGAGCTGGAGAGCTGCATCTTGAAATCTGTCTTAAGGTATAAGGTCTAAATTTTAAATTTGTGTAGCACAGTTTATTTTGTTATCATATTATTCTATTATTCATATTCCTTGTTTTATAGGACTTGGAAGAAGATCATGCCTGCATTCCCATCAAGAAATCTGACCCTGTGGTGTCATACCGTGAGACGGTCAATGAAGAATCTGATCAGATGTGTCTGTCCAAGTCGCCCAACAAGCACAACCGTCTGTTCATGAAGGCTCAACCGATGCCTGATGGTCTGCCTGAGGATATTGATGAGGTTAGTAGAAATTTTATTATATGTAGTGTTAAAAAAAATTCAACTTAAACATGTGTGGAAAAATACTTTCTTGCCCTAAAACACTCACAAATGGGAGGTTGACTACATGACTTTCAATAAGTATTCTTGTAATCTTTTTTGAATAAAATTGTTCTATTTTAACTTAAACTGGAAAACAATTAGTGCCAGCACCAATCATGCACTTTGTTGATTTTCCTGTATTCACCACCTGAACGGAAGTTGACAGGTAAGTGGAGAGCCTAAGCCACCTGTAATGCTTCTGCCAATCTCCAATGTGAGAAATATCAGTTGTTTATCTTTGAACTAGCTGGTTGTGCGCCATGTGTGGGTTGGCACTTAATATTTGGCGAAAAAAGTTAGCATAATACTTACACCAAATTTTATTTACTGTAAATTTTTAATCAAATTATCTATAACAACAGTTCATTTTACTTTTCTTTTCCCAAAATAATGTCATCATTTTATTTGTAAAATTTTATTCAGAAAAAATAACGTTTTATAATCTCTTCCCCATAACGTGCCGCGTTTGAGTGCGTTTGATGCTTTGCGTCGTCGCACGAGGAAGGTGTCGGCCAGCGGGGAAGCAGAGCACATCTCGCATGCGTCTAAACGCTGCATAGGACCTCTATCCTTATGTCCGAAGACCGCATGCTACGGCGCAAGCGATACATTTTAATATAAAAGTCTAAAGCCTAAACGGTAAATGGATGATTTCTTCAGTCTTAATTTGTTTTTTGTACTTCAACAGGGTCGCGTGAACCCACGTGATGACTTCAAAACCCGTGCCCGTTACCTCGGCGAAAAGTACAATTATGACGTAACTGAAGCCCGTAAAATCTGGTGTTTCGGTCCTGAAGACACTGGCCCTAACATTCTTGTGGACTGCACGAAGGGAGTACAGTATCTTAACGAGATTAAGGATTCCGTAGTGGCTGGTTTCCAATGGGCTACTAAGGAAGGTGTCATGGCAGAAGAGAATTTGAGAGGTGTCCGTTTCAACATTTATGATGTTACCTTGCATACTGATGCTATCCATAGGTTTGTTCTTTTATTTTTATTTTATCATATATGTACTACATAATATTAGGGCTATGAATGGTTACCCCTGAGAATTCTAGTGTTAGCACTGTTTGCTGCATAGTTGTTTAAATAATCTAGCTTTGTGTAATTTCCCTGGCAAATATTCGTAAAAATTTACTTGAAAAACTAGCTTTTCATTCTTTTTTAAGTCTTTATTTTGATTCTTTGCTAAGAACATTTAAAATTTTAATAATAAACAAAAAATAATAAAAATCAAAATGTAATTTAGAGATTGCCTGTAGTTTTCACAGAAGGCTTTAAACATGGACATAATAATATAAAAGCAAGTTAAATTAAAGCTAAAGAAGCTTCAAACCTGTATAAAACCCTTCTCAATTTCCACAGAGGTGGTGGCCAAATCATTCCAACTACAAGGAGATGTCTATATGCCTGTCTGTTGACTGCCAAGCCTAGGATCATGGAGCCTGTCTACTTGTGTGAGATTCAGGTGTGTAGTTCGAATACTAAGTTGCAGTCCCTTTAGTACCTGTGAAAGTAGATAACTTTTTGAACAGTATATGGTACACATTTTGTTGAAAATATTTAAATTTCATAATTTCTTTAAAATATCTAGTTTCATATTTCTCTTGCACTAGAAGAAAGCCACGTAGCATCCTAAGCGGCCTGGTAAGATTTCACTTGTCCGCATTTCCGATACGTGGTAGAGCAACGGTTCTTTGTTTTGGCATTGTTGCGACACATACACCTTGCCTGAATAGGGGAACTAACATTTTAGTTATCAAATTATCTGCTATAAATTATAAAAGCTTTCATAGGAGTCATATACTTTTCAACAGGCAATTAATAATGAGCTGAGATAATCTATTAAATATATTACCTACTATTGTCTATAATAAATATTGCATAGCAGCCATGCTGTAGTTATATTATGGTAGTTGCATGAATTTGTTCTTGACAGGATAGGAATGCTGTGTTTTGTATAGTGAATGGAATAAAATATTTTTTATTCAGTAATCTGTATAGATCACATGTACCATGTCAGAACCGTATACCCTTTTTACTGAACATGAGGTATTTCATGTTAGTCGCCAGGGGTGACAATGCATCTGCATATTAATTTTTAATAGAGGATAAATGTAGATGTCTATGTGTCTCAGTATATCCACTTAACATCAGGTGGGTTCTCTGCTTGTTTGGTCACTCTTATTCCAAAAATTAATTTTGTGTTATTTTCGCTTTCTAAATAAGTTGTTGTTTGAGAAGATTCTACAAACTAACATCACAAAAACTGTATCTATCTAGTGTCCTGAAGTCGCCGTAGGAGGTATCTACGGTGTGCTGAACAGACGTCGTGGTCACGTGTTTGAGGAGTCTCAAGTTGCGGGAACCCCCATGTTCGTCGTCAAGGCGTATTTACCTGTCAACGAGTCGTTCGGCTTCACGGCTGATCTGCGTTCCAACACTGGAGGACAAGCTTTCCCGCAGTGTGTGTTCGATCACTGGCAAATCCTGCCTGGTGACCCAAGCGAGCCTGGTAGCAAACCTTACGTGGTTGTTCAGGTAACCTTGCAATTTTTCTATAATATTTAAAAAAATTTTTCTTTCTTTAAAATGTTTATTTGATATAATAGCTAATTTAAAGATTATAATAAGACCTTTATTCACTAAAGTATTTGTTTTCTCAATTATATTGTTACTGTAGTATATGCCAGTAACAGCTTTAGGTGAAGAATTAAAATAAAATATTGAAGTACATAAATGAAATATCTCATGCAACCTTTTCATGACAAAATTGAAGAGCAATTATAAATTTTGATACATCTAAATATGAAAACCAATCAATTGTTTTTCAAATAGCTATATCTTATTGAACATAAACTGTATTGTACATGTTTTTGTTGGTCATTAAGCATCCATTCACGCAACAATTATAGTAGGAACGACATTTTCCCATTATAATTTATTAAATAGATATGTAATATACATAATATAATTATAAATTTTATTCTATAGTTAAATAATATACTAAACACTGAACAAAAACTATTTCAACAAGTGTTTACAAAAAACCGTAAACAATATTAAAAAAAACTAACATTCAATCGCCTACAACGCCCTAGTCCCGACTGCGTATGCGGGCCGGGCCGCCTCGCGATTTTAGCTAATTATTTCACACAGGTAATAGTGACAGAGGCCTGCCCGTAGTTAAGCCAGGATGTGTTAATTGGGCCAAATATCACAATTTCATTAATTACAGTTACGTTAAAATAATGTTTTTGTTCCACAGGATACAAGAAAAAGGAAAGGACTGAAGGAGGGTCTCCCAGACCTAAGTCAATACTTGGACAAGTTGTAAACGCCGTAGCTAATGCAATCCATACTGTAATATATGTAACATTACCAAGCGCATCACGCACTGCAATTTATTTTATTATACTATTACTTTCCATATATACAAAACATTGTTTGCCTCATTCAGTTTGTAAGTGCCACGGGAAACATGTTTCAAAACTTTCAATAAATTATTGATAGAAGATTTGCATTGTTAATGTTTACCACATGTGATACTAGACTTAAAGGTAGTATCGCTGTTTATAAAACGATATTACCAATCTCTTCGCTATGTTGAATGTTATCATAATATTTAGTTGGGAACCTGGAAATCTTTAATTATACTGTAATTATTTTTAAATTATAATTTTTTTATTGTAAATTATTGTAGTTTAATTTATTATGGTAGGAAACTAGATAATGATTACATAGGTGAGTTGTTTTGATTTTTTGGTTTATAACGCTGCTTGATATGTAACTTAAAATATTTAATTATTTTCAAATAACTTTGAATGTAGTTGTAGTTGAGCTCTAGCTTCTGTATTCAGTAGGCAAGCTGTTATTTTATTACAAAACATGTTATTTTCATTGCTTTTCTGTTACAGTGCCTGTGTGCTACTTTGTTTCCTGTCCTTAAAGGTAAATATAAAAAAAATATTGTAAATAATTATAATTAATAATACTCATTTGTAGAAACATTGAAACTGAAATGCATTACAATCAAACTGCATTGCAGCTGCTAAGCCTCAAACTGACGCGGGATAACTCGCTTATTATTTATTCCTGAGCATTCTTCATACCTTGGAGAAGCATATATGAAACTATATTCGTAGTTAAATGACTTCATATTCCAGTGTTATGATGGAATTTAAAAAAATATGTTAAATTTTATTCAATTTTCACCAGTAAGCAACCTGCACAAATTTCTCATCGATTTACATGTAATTTTGTAACAAAAACAGTTATTTCAATATAGTTAGTTACCAGGCATTTTTATTCATAATGTTAACATGTATAATATATCCACTTTCTCCTGATGAGTTTTCCACAGACCTGTTCTGATATTATTGAGGACAAATTTAACATCATTCTGAAATTAACAATTTTATTGCAGATTTATGGTAAAATCTATTTTGTTTTAATTACATTAAATTTCTTTTACAGATACCTCTAGGCCCCGCTAGAGTGGGTGTTGTTTAATGCAGGGTATGTTATTTTTTCTTTTAATCAAAAGCATATTTTCATATAAGAAACAAAAGATTAAAGTTAACTGTCATTTTCTTAAACGATTCCTGTTTCACAAAAAAAATATTGTAACTTTTATGGACTAACTAACACGTATTTAGCTCAATTCAACCTTTGTCTACAGAAAACAGTTTTGTATGCGTACACATCCTGTTTAGCTCTCATTATATTCAGCTTTTGCGGTAAACAGGCATAAAATGAAGTCTAAGTGTGTTTCTATCATACGCACGCTAACGCCAGAGTTAATCGCTTTTCCACCGCATTCAGCGCTGTACCGACGCGTTCAGCGCTGTACGCAGACTGTCCTTGACGACTACTCTATGATTGCAGACGATTCACTACGCATGCGATCATCGAATCGTCAAATGAAATAATTCTGCAATTTCGATAAATTATTAAATATTTATCCGAAAATGCTCTTTAAATTCAATATTGTTTTCTTTTCATTCTGATATCGATTTTGCGTATTCCCTAATCAAATTTCTGTTTATTTAAAGGGGGTCGACGAACTGTCGTTTTCGTTTATTACGTTCCAGTTTTTTAGGGTTCCGTAGTCAACTAGGAACCCTTATAGGTTCGCCATGTCTGTCTGTCCGTCTGCCCGTCCTCGCTTAGTCTCTGTGACCGTTAGCACTAGAAAGCTGAAATTTGGTACCAATCTGTGTATCAATCACGCCGACAAAGTGGTAATAAAAAGTGGAAAAAATGTTTTATTAGGGTAGCCCCCCTATATGTAAAGTGGGAAGTGATTTTTTTTTTAATTTCTACGCTAACGTGTGATATATCGTTGGAAAGGTACTTAAAAATGAATAGGGGTTTACTAAAATCATTTTTGATAATGTCAATAATTTCGGAAATAATCGCTCCAAAAGTAAAAAACAATGTGTCCCCCCCTCTAACTTTTGAACCATAAGATTAGAAAATATGAAAAAAATCTGAAAAGTAGAACTTTATAAGGACTTTCTAGGAAAATCATTTTGAACTTGGATGGAAACAACAGTACCCACTACCGGGAGCAGTTGCAAGCGGGAGCGCGAACATAATGGATACCCACCTTTAAACTCATAAGTGGGAACACTTTTGTGACGGACGGGTAACTACGGAACCCTACACTGAGCGTGGCCCGACACGCTCTTGGCCGGTTTTTATTTCTATTTCTTCTGAAAGGAGCGTAACAATAATAATTATTACACATGGATCTGTCCATGTTGAGTGCAAAATACTAAATAAAAGTAGTTTACCGAGAAGCATTTCAGCAGAGATAGCACCCTATGACGGCCTTTTACAATCTTATGATGCTTACGTGGCTGATAGAAGCGGAACCGTATATAAATGTAAAAAAAAAATCATCCAGCCAAACGCAAATGGAGCTAAATAAATGTAACTCCCGTAATGTGTATTTGACACAATAACAATGGCCATATAGACATATCGTGTCTAGTATTCAATAATGATGAACAATCCTTATCCACCATATAAAGTAATACATTTGTTTACACTGGAATATTTTTATCTGTCAAAATACTACTTTAAAAGAAAATTTATCTTTACAGATTTTTCTAAGGACCCGCTGCACAAGGATGAAGTAATCTAATGTAAGTTTTACTAAGTATCATTGATTTATTTTTTGCATAGAAAACTATATTTCATTTAGTAATAAAATAAAATTTGGAATAAACATAAGAAGCATTTTGTCATTACATATTTATTTAGTGAAATTCTATGTTTATGTGAATTTAAAAACACAAGTTTGAGTAGGAAAGGGAAATTAACTAAACATTGCTAAACATTCACAAGGGACACGAAATTTTTTGCCCATATTTCCCTAGTAGTAATCGTGAATACAAATATAGTCTGTATATTATAAGTTTATAAGCATGAGATGGGTGACTGCATCATATCTTTGCATAACATTTAAAGTCTTATCTACGAAAGCAGTTACATTATAAAACTCATGCTGTAACAAAATCTAGCTTATATACAAAGTTCTTGCTTTTGAACCTAGTCATCAATCATTTAATTTGGAATTTAATTTACATCTCTTTATCAAACAATCCTTTACTGTCCGTGAACTATGAATTCATAGTTCAGTTATTTTTATTTTGTTTGCGCTATTTTATGCTCATAAGGAACAACAATTACATAGAATGATTTTAAAACTCCCCCTGATGCCACCATGACGGTATTTACAAGCTCAACAGGACTGAATTTGAAATGCGCAGCTTAAAAGTGGTACATATTGAATCCAAGGCATTAAAAGTTTTTCTTTTTCAGATTCATGAAGGTAATAGTTGTCATTGCTCGCTCTACACGTGACCGCAAGAACTGACTGACTGGTCGTGTAGGTAAGTGAAACACTTTTTGAAAAGATAAAACTGATAAGTGATTACTTTTGTTTACAAATTAGAGATTTTATTGTCATAATCTGCTATGTGTTGTCTAATTTATTGACTTTAATTTAGCAGGCAAACTGTATCAAAATCAAAGCATTTATTGAATTTTACAAATGCAATATGATGATAATTTCACAGACCTGTTCTGAATTCTGTTGAGGTTAGCTTTACAATCTACTGATTTCACAAAACTTCAACTAAAATTATAGATGCTATAACATTATTCTTAATTTTATATTTTTATTGCAGATCCAGAGGCAGTTCCACGAAGAGGAGCGCAAAGGAAAATAAAATAACGATTAAAATGTAATAAATTGTTAAGTAAAGATTAGTACCGTAATAAGGTGTTTTATTTTTATTGAAATCAATTATTTAGAAAATAAACATTGTACATAGTAAAAAAAATCTTACAGAAAAGCTGCAGAAGTGTTAGTTCTAGTGGAAATACCACCAAAATTGAAAACTAATCTTTGTCAACATAACATTCAGTAAAACCTACGTTCCTTTCGTAAATTTATCCAGAACAAAATATTACTTTGGAAGAGTAGTTAATGCCTGCAACTTTGTTTCTGGGGCACAAATCAATAAGAAGTACCTACCAGCCAAAAAGTACAATAAGTAGGTATATAAAGGAAGTAGCGTAGAGAGGTCTGGTCAGTATTGTTGCAACGATTATCATCATTACAGCCTTTGACAAGTCCACTGCTGAACATAGGCCTCCCCCAAGTAATGCCACAAGCACGGTCCTGAGCCATCTGCATCCATCGACTTCCTGCATGTCTTACCGGGTCGTCACTCCATCTAGTGGGGGGTCGCCCACATTACGCCTACCGGTACGAGGCTGCCACTCGAGAACCTCTTCCCCATCGGTTATCGGTTCTTCGAGCTATAGGTACTGAAGCCTTTTCGGAAACCGGCTTGTTTGGGAGGCTGGAAGTCGTCGAGTCTGCGTGCGAGACGATTCGTAATGACTCGAAAACAGCACGTAGACGCAGCTCAGAAGGGAAATCGGTCTGTAGTTCTTCAAGCGAGCGTTGTCAGTTCTTGAAGAACAAGACCACCGCATTTCTGCTCCACGCCTCCAGAGTAGTGCCAACATGGAGGGCGGAACTGAAGGACTTAAGTGTACTGGTGTTCAACCCGCTTTCAGCTCTGCTGTAATTCCATCCCCGCCTGGGGCCCTGCCGTTATTTAGGTGCTGGAGAGTCATTCTAATCTCGCTCAAGGTGACGTTCGAAATAGTGTCCGATAAGACTTGCTCTTGGATCGTTACTCACACTTGCGTGTGGCTCGAATCCCACTCAAAATCTCAGGTGTCCCGGAAACGATGCTATCACACTCTGTCTTCAGCTTTGATAGTTGGCTCTTTCTGGCAGACAGATCTCTGGCAAAGACTTTGAAGCCCTGGTTCCGCTCAATCGCTTCTTCAATAGGTACGAGCTGTATTGAAGTTGCGTAAGTCCTGCCGCATGCATTTGAATGGAGATCTCTTTAGTTGCCTGTATGCTGTCAAATCTGCTGACGACTGTAGCCTCATCTCCCGTCTACAGCCATGAGATTAAGAGTGTGATCGGAGAGTTTTTGTGTTCTTCTGCGGCGGGTCTTGCAGAACTTAGCTCCGACCGCATGGACAGTTTCCACGAGCTTGTCATTCATATCGTCCACCGAATTTCAATCTTCTAGGCACCGAAAGCGGTTACGTAACTCGAGCTGAAAGGTTTCGGGATTCTGGATTAGAGCACGAGGGGGACGGAGCGTTGAGTTCATTAGACGAGGCGTCTCCTACTTGACGTTTTGGTTCAGTGTGCCTCTAACCATTCGGTGATCGCTGCCAGTTTTCACGCTTGCGATCACTGAGACATCACTGAACAGTTGCCGTCATAATGAAGTCAATCTCATTTTTTGTCGAACCGTCGGGGCTCGACCAGATCCGCTTTCTGTGGGGCCGCTTCTGGAAGAAAGAGTTCATCATAAAGAGTCCCTCGTTCTCCATGAAGTTGGCTAGCTGCCTGGCCCCTTGGGTTCCGTTGACCTATCCCAAATTTCCTTACCTTCAGCTCACCGTTCTTTCTTGTGCCTAGTTTTGCGTTGAAGTCTCCCATTAACACCGTATAGTGAGTTTTGGAGGAAATATCCTCATACATTTCCTCCACCTCCTCATCGGGATGTTCCGACGTTGGTGCGTAAACCTGTATGACCTTCAGCGAATACCGTTTGGTGATTCTGAGTATAAGGTACGCAACACTCGTCGATACACTCCCAATCTTTACAACGTTGTTAACGAGAGACTGTGTGGACAATAAATCCAACACCTCCTCGCCCTCCCGGTGATAGAACAAGTTGCCCGATTCGAGAATCACTGCTTCCTCCCCCTCTCCTCAGACCTCGGATAATCCGACAATATTTCAGAAAAAAAGTATTTCGTTGTGTTATTCTTAGTGAAATTGATCATTATATGATAACAATGAGTGGCAGGACATATCTACTATTTGGACTTATTCTAGAGAAACTGACGACCAAAATGAAGTGGAATGTAATGTACCTAATGTTTCTTTGATTCCAAAATCATTTTATCAAGCTTTCTGTTTGCTATAATTGGAAATAAATCTACAGTGCCTCAAAAACGTAACGCTGTGCAAATACATTTTACCCATAAATAAAATATATTTTCAACAGTAAAATTATGAGACATGGCATTACTCAATTTGTACATTTCCATACAGTGGACACTTGACTACCACTTTAACGAATCTTCGGTAATTTAGCTGAATATTCGGTAAAGCTGCCGAATACCGAATATGAACGAATATTCGGCCCATCTTTAGTTGTCACCCCTAAGGACTAAGATGGGATGCCTTGTTTCCAGGAAAAATGGTCTCCGGTTAGAGAACCTATGGGTGTAGAGTCATTCGCCATACGAAACAGCAGCCTTAAGCTGCTAATTTACGCTGGTATTCTGTGAGAGCGTGGTCCTACCGCGGTTGCTAATTTACGCCGGTATTCTGTGAGAGCGTGGTCCTACCGCGGTCGAACCAACCCATTCTTGCTACAACTAATATAACTGCAGCATGGCTTTAGCATTTGTAAAATAAATAGTTTTAAGATGGAAATTAATTTCTACTGATTGTAAGATTTTTGTAGCAACTAGCAACATTAAATTGAATTGTCACAGCAATGAATAGTCACCAAGGAGGTTATAAATAAAGTCACAGATCATACAAACATATCTTATACCCGTCTACCACGTATGCTCTTGAATAGATTAGTGATGCGACTAGTGAGATTTTTCGCTAGAGTCACTCGCCAATAATAACCAAGTCACTTGAGTGCTACTCTAATGAAGATAAAACTAGATAGACCTTTTTCACTCGAATTACTCGCCTGACAAAAATTAGTAAAACTCTTGTTTTCCACAATTTGTAAAGTACAATCTTGATAAATCATTTTGACTAAAGATTTTTTTTGTTTCTGCTTTGAAGTGATGCATTAGGTCTTACAAGTTGTAGTTGCTGAAAATGCAGTTTCCTTGATGTAGAATTGGAATCGGCAGACGTAGAAGTAGAACTTTCACCTTCACTAGTAAGTAAACACGATACACGATATACACGATAGGAACTTGTCTCACCCCTAATGTACATATACAGAATCTGATGTTTATTTTTAAGATTATGAGAAATCAAGTTCGTAGTATTCCCACTTTTTGTAACTTTTCTTTCACAACTTGCAAATAATTGTTTTTAGTTCCACATTTTTTGTTGTAAAACGACCAAACTATATCTTTTTGGAACTCTCAGTCATTACGAATACCTACGTACTAATAGCAAAGTCTTAAATAAATATTTTACTAAATACAAACAACTCACACAAACAAATTTGTACTTAATTTCCAATGGAAGATACATTGGCTAAACATGTCTTAACTTGACTTTTTCACTCGAATTGGTACACAGGCCACTCGAATGTTCCAAGTTATTCGAGTTGACTCGAGTCACTCGTAAGACTCGAGTGGAACACGGCTCGAGTCCCATCACTAAAATAGATTAATAGGATTACGTCAAAATCGAACTATTCAAGGTTACGTCTGTGCGCATGTTCTTATAATCATTTATAAGTTTTTTTAACAGACTAAATTACTTAGTCACTCCGATTCATGCTAAGTCGCTCGTTTCGGCTGTTATCGGGTTACCTGGACAGAATGTTGCCTGAAGTTGTATTCGTTCTTGGCGCGCCCGGTGCTGGAAAAGGAACTCAGTGTTCCCTTATTTCCAAGGAATATGACTTCGTGCATCTTTCGGCTGGAGATCTTTTGCGAGAAGAGAGACAACGTCCCGGCTCCGAATACGGAGAAATGATAGAAGAGAAGATACGTAATGGAGAAATTGTCCCTGTTGAGGTTACATGTTCACTTATTCATAAAGCTATGCAAAAGTCCGGTAAACTCCGTTTTCTTATCGATGGCTTTCCACGTAACAAGGATAACTTGGACGGATGGAATCGGGTTATGTCAGACAAAGCGAAACTGTTATTTGTAATATTCTTTGAATGCTCTCCTGATTTATGCACAGAAAGATGTTTAGGAAGGGGTGCTGCAGGCAGCGGACGTTCAGATGACAATTTGGAAAGTTTGAAAAAAAGATTTAACACATACCTTAATGACACCATGCCAATTATCGAACATTATGAACAGTTGGGTCTTGTGAAAAGAATAAACTCTGAAGCAGTACCAGAAGAAGTGTTCAAAAATGTAAAGAAAGTATTTAATGGAGCAGGACTAAACGGGCTAGTAAAATAAATTATGTAATTTATATCAAATTAAATGAATATTGTAGTCAGCAATGTCATTTTGTGCTAAGAGTAATAATTGTTTCCTTTTGAATATTCATTAAATCTAGAGGCCATGACTATGATAGGTTACAAATATGAAACATCATTGTTAATTCAAGAATTATTGGAAGAACTGTAGTTGTGTATTTTATCAATATTATTGGTAAACCTGTGATTTTAAGTTGTACATAAAAAAAGTTAAGTTGCTATGAAGTTATTATATCGTTTCAGAATGTCCACCTCAATGAAGATTCCTTCCAGTTCTTATTCACTATTAATATGGCATGTTTTTAGATTTTTGATTAGATTTTTTTCTTTTCTAACTAAGCATACAAAAATGTGAATAAAACTCGGTGTTTTGTTCACATTTTTGTTGATGTTATTTCTTTGCGTATTTTTGAAATATTGTGTTGTATAATTTGTATACTTTAGAGATGTTTGTTTACATCAAATTCATAATATTGATTTTATGGCTTTCAATCAATGAATCAGGCACAATTACATATTTTCTAGTATTTGCTCTTATACAATTATGTGTAATAATAAATGTAAGCATAGCATCAATTATACCTTTCAAATGCTTTTTAATTTAAACCAAATCACACCAATAATAGATAAACTATGTATCTATTTTGTGAGATAAAATTTATTTTAATAACAAACTTCAACTGCTATGAGCAGGCAATTTGCATACTATTTATTTAAATGCAATGAGTAAGATGAGTAGCTAATATTTTATAAAATAAGTTCTCACAACATCATAGATCTGTACAAGTGATTGTGAAACCAAAGAATAATATTTAAAAATTCTTAACCTGCAAAGCTAACTTGCTTTAACTAGGGTCTTCGTCTGCCTAAAAACAAAACAAAAAACACTGATATCTTTAATAGTGATCTTTGAGCAAGTATTTCAGTTATTGAAAAACCCCTTTTGACTAAGTTTTTTGCTATTATCTCAAGTTATATGTAATATAGAAAAATGTTAAAAAAAAGATTGAAGATTATTATTGTTAATTTCCCTAAAGGATGTCTTATCCACTAACATTCCTATTTTTAACTAATGGTATTAAAGTAAAAAAAATTTAAAAATCGATTTTGCATCAAAACTAACAAACTGTTTTTGTTAGAAACTTTTTCATGATCTTTATGAGATGATCATCAAAAACTATTAACATGTTTTCAATCTTACTACATATTTCAAAGAATCCTGCATGTTTTTTGGATCAATTACTTTTGGCATTGCTCTCTATCTGTACGTGAAGCATCATCACATTTGGGTTAACAATTTCGAAGATTATCCAAAATTTTGAAAATGGTTATTTCCTTAACAGCCTGCAAATAACTTCCCGATACCAGTTATTTGAATACCACAGAGTTACAGACTATTCAATTTTATTTACATGTATAAATGTATTTATGAAGTTGTAGATTTCTGTTTCGGATTTAGTGTTTATATCATAAAATTAGAAGGTTATGATAAAATAAAAGTTAATAAATTTAATGATATAAATACTAAATCTAAAACAAAAATCTACAACTCCGCAACATGTTGATTGTGGAAAGGGTTATCACCTTTTTTTTTTAAATAAATATAATATTTTTCCACAAAAAAGATTCAAAAATATAGTACTTTTGAGAAATTCAGGCAAAAAGTACACATTTATTTTAAATGTTTATATATTTTTTCATATATATTTGTTATTGCTCTTCGCTTTGGCCATCAATGATTGTCTGATGATTGAATGATGAGTCTGAACAATTTAGATTCATATGAAAACAAATTAACAATTCATTTTTATTTAGATTAATACATGCTCTTTCTTTCTTCTTTCCATTTTACACTCATAATGGAAAAAAATATTTCCATAAAACGTACAATCACAATTAATATAAAAAATATAGAAGAAAGGATAAAAATATAGAACTTTTCGTACTAAATTATTTTTCTATAATATATGGTACAAATGACTGAAACATAGTACGATACTATATATTATAGTACGGGTGGCAACCCTATTTGCAGGGATATTAATGAAACAACTAACTCAAGGTAAATTCATTTTATGATTGTTATATAATGACTGCATATGAAATGGCTTCCTTCAATGACATTGCAAAACATTCACGGCCTTACTTAAAATTGATTGTATCTTATTCTAAACCTGTCTCTTTCTGTTTTTATTTAGTGAAAAGAGAGAGAGAGAGAGCATTTCATACATCGACGTCGATTTTTATGAGGCCCTTATTTCGCAGTCATTTTCGCACCCCTTAACATATTGACCTTGGATATGTGAGTTTGGGCATAGAATTAAAATATGTCAGTATGTCATGAGTCATGACGGAATCTAATTATGAAGACATTTTTCTTTCGTTTTTGTTATCATTCACTTTGATGTTATTAATTTTTTAAGAGGCAGTAACATTGACCGCTGTAACTCAGTATTTAGGTCTTATGTGAATCCTAGGTTCGAGTTATATCTGATCATAGGCATCCCTATAAATTGCCTCTTAGTAGATATCTGCTACAGGTGCCATGCTGTAGGTGGATTATGAATAGAGTATGGTGCAGTGTCGTCGTAAGAATATCTACCCCATAACTTGCCGTGGTTATAGTAAAAGACGACGGAGGGAAACTGAAGCTGGTTTTTTCTGTTGTATATTAGTTTATGATGAATTATTAATTAAGTTTAAAGATGTTCAGTCATATCAATGTATAGATCCAAAATAAAATATTTTTTTCTCATATCGCTAAGTGTATTATGTTTATGTGTCATATTTTTTACAAATCACTAATGTTTGTGTACATTCACAAACACCGATATTTCTATTTACACGTTTAAAAATGTTGAAAACATTACCAAAATAGTGAAAATATTAAAAAGTTATTAATGCTGCTAAAAAGTTGTTTTATTTTTTAAAAAAGTAAATTATAAAAAAAATTATGAATATTTTTGTTAGAGGCGGTAAATAATGTACGATTTTTAACGTACCATTATTAAATGAATAGTTTAGTAATTAATATTATGGCTAAGAGTCCGTATGGGTTGTAACCACCAACCTTCTTATTTCTTTCTCCAAGCCGCAATGCACGAAGTGATGTAGTTACTTTTGAAAGGTAAGATTATAGAAACTTTATACTCGTAACTAATGGTTGTGTTGTGCTCTATAAGATTGTGCTCAGGTATGAAAAGCAACCAGGAGAACAGACGCGAGAATCATAATGTGCTTTCTAATGAAGGGGGATGAAACACGCACGCCATCTCCGGGCTGCTAAACTGACAATTTAAGACATAACCCAATACCTAACTGATTTTAGCTCGAGCCGAGATTCAAACCCGGTACTGCATGAGATTTAGCCGCGATTAGAACCACTACACCCACAGCAGTCAGAAATGTAATTATTAACTAAGTTTTAATTTTTAGTGTTTTAAATCATTAAATTTAAAACACTAAAAATTTAAACATTATACCAAAAAGCTGTTCAAAATAAGTGTAGTAAATACGTAAATAAATATTTCGTTGGGAGGAAATAGAAACAAGCAGTCATGATTTAAGAAAAAAAAAACGAGAGAAGAATATATTTTAGCAAGGTCAGACGGAAGCGTCGCTTTGTTGGTTAGGTATACTTCGTCCGATACTGCTTGCATATTTCTTTTAATTTCATAATCAATCTTACGATCTTGTCTTATTCTATATTTTATATAACTTTCCGTGTGGGTGGTGTTTAGTGGGTAAAAGTCTCCACATAACGACGCAGCCGGCTGCGTGGTATGCTATGAGCATTCACCCTGCCCATACTGCCAACTTTATTTACCATTGTATTAAACTAAGAAAAGTAAAAACACATTTTAAATGCTATATTTTTATAAAATTAAAATTAAACATTGCAGTTAGCATCATATTCTTTCGTTGGTTTGAATGCAATGCAATCGCCATGCTCCCCAAAGCCTTGTTTAACGTGCAAGACAGACGCTACATTATGTTTATATATGCATATGTGTTTATAAATCTCTCGTGTTTTTGTCCTAATAAAGTTTATTTGAGAGAATATTCTTTCGCATGCAGCGTTCGACATTGGTAAGCATAGCAGTCCCCGACCGATTGAAATATTAACCATAAACTCGTATTTATGAATACTTGTTTTAAGATTATCAACTTTATATAAAACAATTATAGTCGTTTATTGAATGTGATACATTGAATTAAACTAAATTTACGGATTCTATCGCGTTTATTTAACTGATTTTACTTATTTTTAATTCCCGACGTTTCGGGTGCTTTACAGCAACCATGGTCATTAGTTTTATTCAATGTGTAGTGCTCGCGTAAATTTAAGAAATCAGAATGTGATACAAACGAGAAGTACAGGCAACTCCCCCCACATGCTGTTTTCCATTTTGTTGTCCAGTTGGTTGCCATTTTGGGCATTTTGATATGCCAAAAACTGGTAGGTTTTATAAAACGTCATGCCAGAGGCAAAACTAAGTGGCTAATCCTGCCAAAATGGCAGGAACCTGCCACATATGGTCACACTGCTGTGATACTGTGACTGGCTATTTTGATAATTAATTCTAGACCATGAAAATATTTGTCTCGTGCGAACTTGTTTGGCTATTTTTACATCATTTCATCAGTAAGCGTTTAATGTTGAGTTTCAATTGTTACTAGATGTGCTACTGTATAAAAATTTATAAGCATTGGATTTCATGGGTTATTTTTATTTTGCGCAAAACCCTTTTTCTAAAATAAAAGTAGCCTAAGTTACTCCTTATAACATCAGCTAACTGCCAATGAAAACCTCGTCAAAATTAGTCCAGACATTTCGGAGATTAGACAGCCAGACAAAAATTCACATAATTGTGATTTTGTTATAAATACGTATATACTTTCATATGCATTTATTAAAAAGTTGTATAATAATATAGATATTTGATATGATGTGTGCGGCACCGTCTAGTGTCTGCAATC